GCAGGCTCTGCACTGTCAGCGCAGACCCCGATGCAGGGCTCGATCTCATGGACTGTGCGATCATGACCTGAGCTGAAACCAAAAGTTGGACCCTTAACCGACTGAGCCACCCAGGCGCCCCCCGCCCCCAGTCTGGTTTAGTTATTCATGTGCCTGGGGTGCCTGGGTGGTTCGGTCAGTTTAGAGTCTGACTTCGGCTCAGGCCGTGATCTTGCAGTTTGTGGTTTTGAGCCCCGCATCAGGCTCTGTGCTCACAGCTCAGAGCCTGGAGCCTGCTTCGGATTCTGTGGCTCATTCTCTCTCTCCCCCTCCCCTGCTTGTGCTCTGTTTCTCTCTGTCGCTCAAAAATAAATAAACATTAAATAAATAAGTTATTCATGTGCCCAAGTTCTTTTTTAATTAAAAAAATATATACAGAAGGGGCGCCTGGGTGGCTTAGTTGGTTAAGCGTCCGACTTTCGCTTAGGTCATGATCTCGCGGTTCGTGGGTTCGAGCCCCGCGTCGGGCTCTGTGCTGACTGCCAGCTCGGAGCCTGGAGCCTATTTCAGAGTCTGTGACTCCCTCTCTCTCTGACCCTCCCCTACTCACACTGTCTCTCTCTCTCTCTCCTAGAAATAAATAATAATAAAAATGTTAAAATACATATATATATACAGAAAATGTTAGGGGTGCCTGGGTGGCTCAGTTGATTAAGCGTCCGATTTCAGCTCAGGTCATGATCTTGCAGTCCATGGGCTCGAGCCCCACGTTGGACTCTGTACTGACAGCTAGCTCAGAGCCTGGAACCTGCTTCAGATTCTGTATCTCCCTCTCTCTCTGACCCTCCACTGCTCATTCTGTTTCTCTCTCTCTCTGAAATAAATAAGACATTAAAAATTAAAAAAAAAAAAAAAGAAAAATTGATGGAAAAAAATGAATGGATTGTGACTCTCTGGACAGGAGTATTATTGGAGAGTGTCATATTTTCTTTCTATTTTTCAGTATTTGCTAACTTTTTTTATAAAGACCACGTTACAAAAAGATAATAAATACAATTTTGTGTGATCTCAAACGAAATACATAAACAGAGAGAGGTGCCTGGGTGGCTCAGTCAGTTAAATGTCTGACTGTGGCTCAGGTCATGATCTCCCAGTTCATGAGTTCAAGCCCCACATCGGGCTCTGTGCTGCCGGTGCAGAGCCTGCTTCAGATTCTCTCTCCCTCTCTCTCTGCCCCTCCTCCACTGCACTCATTTTCTTTCTCTCTTTCAAAATAAATATACTTTAAAAATTACATAAACACAGAATGCAGAGAAGATATTCCTAAAACCCTGTGTCCTCCACATAAAGAAGCAAATGTTGGGGCGCCTGGGGGGCTCAATCAGTTAAGGGACAGACTCTTGATTTTGGCTCATGTCATGATCTCACAGTTCGTGAGTTCGAATCCTGAGTCGGGCTCTATGCTGACAGTATGGAGCCTACTTGGAATTCTGTCTCCCAATCTCTCTGACCCTCCCCCACTTGCACTGACTCTGTCTCTCTCAAAATAAATAAATGAAACTTAAAAAAAGAAGAAGAAGAAGAAGCAAATTTGGAGCACCTGAGGGGCTCAGTCGGTTAAAAGACAGACTCTTGGTTTCAGCTTAGGTTATGATCTCACCGTTCTTGAGTTCAAGCCCTGCATCAGGCTCTGTGCTGACAGTGTAGAACCTGCTTGGGATTCTCTCTCTGTCTCTGTCTCTCTGTCTCGCTCTCAAAATAAATAAATAAACTTAAAAACAAAGAAGCAAACATTAACACTTAGCCCTAAAGGCGTCAGGTAATTTTCCCCCCTTTTTTGGTGAAAGAATACTGTAGGGATAAAGTAGAAGCCCTCTCCCCAACCCCCTTGTCTCCAGCCCCAATTCCACTCCCTCTGGGTCTCCCCAGAAAACACCCATTGCCCTGAATCTGGACTGAGGTCTTTGTTTCCTGAGTTCACATTTTAATGTACAGGGATGGTAAGAGGAACTCTGTATTGATTTCTGCTGGCAAAATAACAGGACTTTCTTTCCTTTTTAATTTTTTTTTACTAATAAGACTTTTCTTAAAATTTTTTTTAATGTTTATTTCTTTTTGAGAGGGAGAGGGAGAGAGCAAGCAGGGGAGGAGCACAGAGTGAGGGAGACACAGAATCCGAAGCAGGCTCCAGGCTCCGAGCTGTCAGCACAGAGCCTGATGCGGGGCTCGAACTCACGGACCATAAGATCATTACCTTAACTGACTGAACCCTGGAGCCCCTACTAACAAGACTTTTCCAGCAAAAATTCAAACATTACGTAGAAGGTAAAATGGAAAAAGAACACTCCAACCCGCTCCCCAAAGAAAGGAAAGCAATTAACAGCTAGCATGTGAATTTCCCCAGCGTGTCACCCAACAGGGCGGATATTCCAGTCTGTCTCGTTCTCTGCTGCATCAGTCAGTCCTGGACAGTACAGTGGGTGCTCAATCAAAGTTTAGGTTCCTTGGATCAGGCCCATTTTCATTAAAAAAATTTTTAATGTTTATTTATTTTTGAGAGAGAGCACAAGCACGGGAGGGGCAGAGAGAGGGGGACACAGAATCTGAAGCGGACTCCAGGCTGTGAGCTGTCAGCACAAATCATGACCTGATCATGACCTGAGCTGAAGTCGGATGCTCAACCGACTGAGCCACCCAGGCGCCCATGATCATGCCCATTTTCAAAGTAAGCGTTTTTATGTTAGAATCATTTTAGATTTACAGAAAAGTTGCAAAAGGCGGTGCAAGGCACTCCACTGTATTCCGGCTTTATTTGGATGTCCCCAGCTTTTTCCCACAAAGGCCCCTTTCCTGACCCAGGGATTCCACATTTCATTTTGTCCTCAAGTCCCCTGGGTCTCCTCCAATCTGTGACAGCTCCTCCAACTTTTCTTTTTCACGCCTGGGACATTTTTGCAAAGTACTGGTCGGGTCTCCTGTAGAATATGGCTCAGTTTGGGTGTATCTGGTATTTTTCTCTTCCTCTTGGGCTTGCGGGCTCCTTGTTGCTGGGAAGAAACCCACAGAGGCCAGGTGCCCTTCTCCTGACCCTATGTCAGCGCCACATGATGTCAGTGAGGCTTGTCACCGGGATGTGAGCCTGGACCATTTGGTTAAGGTGGTATCTGTAAGGTGTCTCTGCTGTAAGGTTCCTGTCGTTTGCTTTTCCACACTTTATTCTTTGAACACAGGTCACTAACTATTCTGGGTACAATCCACACTGAAAACGAGGCGGGAAGGGTTGAGTTCTAGCTGCTGGACTTAGCATTTCAACTTACCCCATTTGGAATTCTTTCTAGGGAAGATTTGACTTTTCTTCCCTCACACCCATTTTATTTATTTATTTTGAAAAAGAGAGCGAGTGGAGGGGGGAGGGGCAGAGAGAGAGAGAGGGAATTGGGGCTCCATGGAAGGACCCTGGGATCCTGGCCTGAGCGGAAATCAAAAGTAGGATGCTTAACCTAGGGACCCGCCCAGGGGCCCCTGCCCTCCTCCCACCCATTTTAAAGACCAGGAAGCTGAGGTTGAAGATGACGAACTTCCTCACTAGAGGGTGGCCCAGCCAGGGTGAGGCCCCACCCAGCAATCGAGGGCTGTGGGCGCCCCAGGTGTGAAGCACGGGGGCGACAGGGCCTGCGCGGGGGCAGAAGGAGGAACTCCGGCCCCTGGGCCCCCTCCCCGGCCCGGGCTGCAGCCCCAGGGGCGGGCCTGGACCGTCCCCTGGGGCGCTCTCGCCCATTTTACAGATGTGCAGCCTGAGCCCCTGAGGAGGAGGAGGGGGAGGAGGAGGAGGAGGAGGCGTGGCGGCGGGCCAAGCCGGGAAGACACCTCCTCCCCGCCGGGGATCACCTGGGCCGGCCCCGGGGCCCGCGGGCCGGGCGGGAGGGCCGCCGCCTCTTCAAAGCCCAGCAGCCGGCGACCGCGAGCGCCCCGCAGTCCTGCCGCCCGCGCCCCGCGACGCGCCGGCCCCGCTGACGGCAGGTGAGCCCGCGGGAGGGGCTCCGCCTGCCCCGGTGACCCACTTCCTGTTTGTCCGGGCTGCGGGGGCTGGAGGCACAGACGGCTACTGCGCCCCGGCGACCCGGGGCAGGTCACCTCACGTCGCTGAGCAGGTGACCTCTGCGCTGAATGAGCCCCCCCCCCCCCACTCCCGCCATGCGCCCTCGCAACTGACTGGAGGGACCCGTCGTGAGTGTGCAGGGGCGAATCAGGACGGGAGGAGCAAGGCAGGGAGGTGAGGGGCAGGTCAGACGGGCCACAGGGGCAGGGCCCCCACTGGCCAGGAGCCCACACGCCTACTTCAGCGGCAGCGGCCACTCGGGGGCCTGCAGGCAGCCGCGAGGGTGTGAAGGTCAAAAATCGGTGGTCACATGGTGTGTCACCAGCTGCCTCGGCGCCTGGGTTCCTCCTGTGGGGAATGGGGGTGGGGAGGAGGGGAAGGTGTGGGCAGGACTTCCCGGAAAAGGGAGACCCTGGCGTTTGCGGGAGGGAGGTGACCCTGGGACTCAGACCCATATGTTGTCAAACACACATCACCCACCAGGCACACAACTCACGTGAGAGACACAACACAAACACGCAAACCTGACTCGGCCCGAAACGGGGACACAGGGGCGCCTGGGGGGCTCAGGTCATGATCTCAGGTTCGTGGGTTCGAGCCCCGCGTCGGGTTCTGTGCTGACAGCTCAGAGCCTGGAGACTGTTTCGGATTCTGTACCTCCCTCTCTCTCTGCCCCTCCCCGGCTCACGCTGTCTCTCTCTCTCAGAAATAAATTTAAAAAAGAAAAAAGAAAAAGAAACGGGGACACGGATAGGCGTCCCACGCAGTCCCACTTAGGAACCCAGGCAAATGTCACACACAGACGCGCTGCCCGGGCCTTGCAGGCTCAGTGCGCACATCTACAGGGACAAAGGACTCCCAGGCACACAGCTGACATGTGACCCAGGCAAGCACGCTTGGCTACACACAGGAAACAGCTCAGACACACCCGTGCACAGGCAGCAAACGCGGCCCGGGGAACGCATGGACACACAGGAGGTGTCGGGCTGGGGCCCGCGCACATAACGGGGTGCCCCGGGCAGCTCGACACAAACGGGCTCAGGTGCGCCTGCGCAGAGGCCGCGAGGGCAGGCGCGGCTGCACGTGGGCCAGCCCCCCGACCCCAAATCCCGTGTCCAGCACTGGGGAACTCCAAAGCTCACATGACCCAAGGGGAGGGCTTCTGGAACAGTCGGTGGAGAAACTGCATCATCCTCACTAATGATCCATTTCCGCCCCAGGGAATAAAGGCTCAGTGACCGCCAGTTCTGCCCAGGAGCTCACCTGCCGCTCTGAGCCTCCGGCTGCCTGGCTCCTGCCTCCCCCCAGGGTGAGTGCGCGGTGTGGGACTCGGGCGGCCGGAATGGCCTTGCGCGGCCGCCCTTCCCGGCCCACGCTGGGCCCCGCCCACCCTCTGACTCTCCCAGGGGCTGCTGCCGGGGGTCCTGGGAACTAGGGTCCCACCCCAGGCTCTCCCCAGGGGTCCCCTGCAGGGGTCTACAAGGCCTACCACCCAGGCCTAGGCCCTGGGCCCTCAGACTCCCCTCTCCCCTCCAGATGGACACACGGACTGTACTGCTCATCCTGCAGACCTCCCTACTGCTCCCCCTGGCGGACGGGGCCAACCCAGTCCTGCGCTTTGTGGCTGTGGGTGACTGGGGAGGGGTCCCCAATGCCCCGTTCTACACAGCCCGGGAAACGGCCAATGCCAAGGAGATTGCCAGGACCACGCAGACCCTAGGCACAGACTTCATCCTGTCCCTGGGGGACAACTTCTATTTCAGTGGCGTGCAGGATGCCAACGACAAGAGGTTTCGGGTGTGTGGTCCTGGAGTGGGGGGGAGGGGGGGACAGGTGTGGCAAAGCCGCCCGACCTTTGGGACTCTGGAGAGGGCAGAGGGAAGCTGACGCTTGGCCCCGGCCCGTGCCGTGGTGGGGGTCTCCGGGCAGCTGCCTGACCCTGGGGTCGGGGGGCGTCCCTTCTGTGTGCCACAGGAGACCTTCGAGGATGTCTTCTCTGCCTCCTCTCTCCGCAATGTGCCCTGGTACGTGCTGGCCGGCAACCATGACCACCTGGGGAACGTCTCTGCACAGATCGAGTACTCCAGGGTCTCTCAGCGCTGGTGAGCCCGCCCCCAGCCCCGCCGCCCCTCCTCCCTCAGGGGGAGACCAAGAGCTGGACCCGGGGCTCAAACCCAGGGCTTGTGGGCTCAAGCCGGCTCCATCTCCGCCGCAGGAACTTCCCCAGCCCTTACTACCGTCTGCGCTTCAAAGTCCCTCGGTCCAACGTGTCCGTGGCCATCTTCATGCTGGACACGGTGACGCTGTGCGGCAACTCGGACGACTTCCTCAGCCAGCAGCCGGAGAGGCCCCGCGACGCAGCGCTGGCCCGCACACAGCTGTCCTGGCTCAAGAAGCAGCTGGCGGCGGCCAAGGAGGACTACGTGCTGGTGGCCGGCCACTACCCGGTGTGGTCCATCGCCGAGCACGGGCCCACCCGCTGCCTGGTCAAGCAGCTGATGCCGCTGCTGGCCACGTACAAGGTCACCGCCTACCTGTGTGGCCATGACCACAACCTGCAGGTGAGGGCTCTGCGGGGGAGGTGAGGAAGGGGCCCCCAGCCCAGCTCCGCCTGCCGCCTGGGGGGGGATTCTCCCCAGTGTCCCTCAAGCTATATGCTGTCTAGCCAGGAAAACAGCCCAGAGTTTCCCGAAAGCCATCGTTCTATCTACCAGTTGCCAATAGCTGATTCACTTCTCTAGCCGTGAAGTAGGATCAGTGTGTTGCTACAGGGGAGGAAACTGAGGCCCAGAGGGGTTCTGTCCCTCGCCCAAGGTGACGCCGTGGTCGGGGACAGGCCTGACCCAGATTCAAGACACGGTCCATGGTCAGTGTCATGGAGGGGCTGGGGCCTCTTTCCCTGACCCTGCGCCCTCCGTGCACAGTACCTCCAGGATGAGAACGGCGTGGGCTACGTGCTGAGCGGGGCTGGAAACTTCATGGACCCCTCGAGAAAGCATATGCGCAAGGTCCCCAACGGCTACCTGCGCTTCCACTACGGGGCCGAGGACTCGCTGGGCGGCTTTGCCTACGTGGAGATCAGCCCCAAAGAGATGAGCGTCACGTACATCGAAGCCTCGGGCAAGTCCCTCTTCAAGACCAGACTGCCAAGGCGAGCCAGACCCGAGCACCCCCGCGTGCACCGCTCTAGGGCCTGAGGCAGGGGGCCTCCCTGCTGGAGGGTGGGTGGCCGGGACCGTGCCTGTGGGCCTGGGCTGCGGCGGCAGAGCAGAAGGAGAACCACAGACGAGGAGCGGTGGTGCCAGGTGGCCCTTGTCGCATAGATGCCACGTCTGTGAAAGCACTGCGGGCACGTGGACCAGCCGGAGTGCTGTGCCCCGTGGTGAAGCTTGTCTAACCTGAGCTCCACGCGGTGGGGAGGGGGAGGGCGCAGGGAGGGAAAGCTTTCTCCTGAACCAAGCACCTGTCACTGCCGAATATTCAATAAAATAGTTGCAGAGGCTGAACGTGTGTCTCTCCTCCCCTCCCTGGCGTGTGACATCACCTGGGTCTGAGGGTGCCGGCGCTGCGCCTCCGTTTCTCAGGTGGCCTCACACATGGATGCGATTTGATGTAAAGACTGAACCGAAAAGGGGTGCCCCGGTGGCTCAGTTGATTGCGTGTCCAACTCTTGATTTGGGCTCAGGTCATGATCTCATGGTTCGTGGGTTTGAGCCCCGCATCAGGCTCAGCACTGGAAGCGCAGAGCCTGCTTAGGATTCTCTTTCTCTGGCCCTCCCCTGCTCTCTCTCTCTCTCTCAAAGTAAAATAAATAAATAAATAAATAAACTTAAAAAAAAGAAAAAGAAAAAAAGACCAAACCATAAGAAGGGCTACAATACGAATCAAGCCTTCCTCCCCTGTGCCCACTTCCCCAGGTGCCCCCCATCACTCTTTCCTAAAATTGATGCCTCTGTAATAAAAACATTCCCCCCGGGGCGCCTGGGTGGCTTAGTCGGTTAAGCGCCCGACTTTCGCTTAGGTCATGATCTCGCGGTTCGTGGGTTCGAGCCCCGCGTCGGGCTCTGTACTGACTGCCAGCTCAGAGCCTGGAGCCTGTTTCAGAGTCTGTGACTCCCTCTCTCTCTGACCCTCCCCTGCTCACGCTGTCTCTCTCTCTCTCCCTCTCCTAGAAATAAATAAAAATAAAAAATATTTAAAAAAATAAAAACATCCCCCCCTTTTTCTTTTACACAAAACATGATACGCACACGGTTTTGCGCATGCTCTCTGCGGGTTTTGCGCATGCTCTCTGCTAACGACAACTCGACTGTTCGCAACAGAAGATTCCGTTTTGTTCGTGCCGACATGCAATTGGTAACGCAGTCACATGCATCAGAAATCTAAAGTTTACGGAAAAGAGAAAGATCTCCCTCCCACCCTGGACCTCCGTCCCCCTCTCCAGAAGGAAGTAACTTTCTTATAAGTGACTCTTTCCTCCCAGGATGCCTCTATTCAAATAAAAAGCAGGGGCGCCTGGGTGGCTTAGTCGGTTGGGCGTCCGAATTTCGCTTGGATCATGATCTCGCGGTTCGTGGGTTCGAGCGCCGTGTCGGGCTCTGTGCTGACTGCCAGCTCAGAGCCTGGAGCCTGTTTCAGAGTCTGTGATTCCCTCTCTCTCTGACCCTCCCCTGCTCACGCTGTCTCTCTCTCTCTCTCTCTCTCTCTCCTAGAAATAAAACATTTAAAAAAAATAAAAAGCAAACGTGAATTTTTTTCCCTCCCCTCTCCCAGTGATCCGCACCTTGCTTTTTGGGTATTTTCACACCAACTCTGCAGGTGTGTAATTGACACCTTTTAGGTGCAGCCTATCAAGTGTTGACAAAGGCACACGGCTGCAAACCCACCACCACAATCGAGATAGAAGCAATTCCCATAGCCCCATGGGTTCCTTTTGTACTTTGCTGTTTCTGTCTGTTGTACCCAGAGGTTTGCCCATCAGCTCTCAGGGGGAGCTTCTGGCTCTTTTCACAGCTACCGAGGCCCTGCCGTGTGCCTGACCCACTGTCTATCCAACCAGCCATCTCTCGCGTGTCGCCTGAATTGCTTCCAATAATTTTGCTCTCCTCAAACACTGCGACAATAAATGACTGCATTCATTTTGTGTGTGTGTGTGTAGATATATTTGTAGGATGCATTGGATACATTCTCCAAAGTAAGACGGCCCGTCTTAAAAAAAAAAAAAAAACTTTTAATGTTTTATTTATTTTTGAGAGTGGCAAAGGGGCAGAGAGAGAGGAAGACACAGAATCCGAAGCAGGCTCCAGGCTCCAAGCTGTCAGCACAGAGCCCGCTGTGGGGCTCAAAGCCAGGAATCATGAGATCATGACCTGAGCCAAAGTCGGACGCTTAACCGACTGAGCCCCCTAGGTGCCCCCAAGACTGCCCTCTTTATGACAGCTGTGAAGCTTCCACCTTATGTCAGTGGCCCCTTGCTGGGGCCTGCTGAAATCTCTTTCAGGCCTTCCCTCTTACCAACCAACTTCAGTGGGTTCCCTGGGGCCCACGCTTTTGTACATCTGTGCAAGTATGTACATAGGAAAACTTCCAGAAGCAGAATTGTGTGAGGGCCGGTTTCTTCCAGTGGGTGCCGAAAGCTGCAGAGAAACCCAGTTCCCCTCTGGGAGAGAGTTGAGTAACACCCACCCACGGCCAGCCAGGGCCACCCCAGTGCAGGGCAGGTCCCAGAAACTGCTCCCAGGGCCCCGCCCTCAACTGTCACTTCAGCTGCTACAGGGCACTGACCCACTTGTTTGGCTCCAACTGTCAGCCCAGCTGTGTGACATGAAATAGCAACCTAGATAAAATGTAACTGAGGGTACTTCCAGGGAGAGAAACTCTCTGTGACACCTTCCATTTGCTACTTTATAGAAGCTGATATTGTTGAATGTGTTACAGATGCACCCGAGCGAGAGCCCGTATTACCGTTAAAATTAAGCAAAACTATCTTCCCCAAATGCCAGCCCCGAGTTCCTTCCTGGCATTACTACCAGCCGAGCTCTACACCGTCAAACACCATCACTTCTAATCCTGACCCACGAGGCAAGGGCCAGAATTATCCTTGCTTCTCTGAGGACATTACAGAAACTCAACAGATTAAGTGATGGGCCCAAAGTTATGCCCAGGAAGCAGCAGACCCTGGATCTGAACCACAGAGTCAAGGCAGTTCACAGCCACCCCGTCTCTTCCCACTGACTCAGAGGCTCCAGGCAGTGCAGGGATCTGAATCAGAAGTCAGCCCAGTGTCCCTGTTCACAGGGCCTGGAGCGTGGAATTAGCCCAGAGTCCCTGTTCACAGGGCCCAGCACGTGGAAAGCAGAAGTAGTGACACATCCAAGCTGACACAGGGAACGAGTGGCATGGAGCGGGATTGTCGCCCAGGCCCCCTTCTCCACAATGACCAAGTGCGGCTACCAAATAAATACCAAGCACACACACCAGGCAGCTGGGGGCCCGGGGAGCAGCAAAAAGAATAAAGCAGGGTGGACACTTGAGCTCAGAGGGGCTCCATCCAACCCAGGGGACGGTGCCGGCTGGCACGCAGCCATTGTTAGAAAGACGCCTTCTCAATTTCAAAGGACAGAGGGGGCAGAGTTTTGCAAGGCCAGTCACAGGCTCTCATCTCCTCTCACTCTTCCCCAGCAACCAGCTGTGAGTCACCCATCATGGATATTATCATCTCCCCCGCGCCACGCCTCACGCCAGGTGCCGGGCCGCGCAGTGGCATTCTCCTGCAGCCAGCAGTTTGTCCTAGAGGTCAGGCCACACCCTCAACAATCTCTCAGGCCAAGAATCATAAATAAGAAGGTGAGAGACCTGCCTGGCGCAAACGCATGGTCATCAAAGCAGCTGTGACACCAGCTCAGAGCACACAGGCGGAGGAAAGCCAGAAACAAGGTCAAGAACACATGAGAACCTCACGCAGGTGGGAGGCGGTGCTGCAGTCTCACGCGGAGGTGTTATTCGCCTTGTCAATTTCCCCGGAAGTGGAGCCCAAATCTGCCTTCAGACCACACACACACACACACACACACACACACACACACACTGAAACCCAGAGGGATCACGTATTTGAGTACAGAGAGAAAACACAATGGGAGTCGAAAACGAACATTCACATCTGAATAAGATGGCCCAGAGCAGCTCTGTTCATAACCCACGCGTCCATCCATAGGTGCGAGGAGAAACAGACTGTGGTCCTTCCACACGACAGTATAACTCGGTGATAAAATGGAACAAACTACTGATAGACACAACATGGACAAGTCTCAAATGGAATGAGCTGGGCGAAAGCAAGCAAAACTCAAAAGATTACAGAGTGTATGATTCTGTTCCTATGACTTTCTGAAAACTACCAAGCTTTAGGAACTGAAAACAGACCAGTTGATGCCAGGGGCTGGGTGCAGGGGAAGGAACGGACTACAAAAAGACACAAAGAAATTTGGAGGGGGGTGATGGAAACATTTGCTATCTTTTTTAAATGCTTATTGATTTTTGAGAGAGACAGAGAGAGATCGAGCATGAGTGGGGGAGGGTCAGAGAGACAGGGAGACACAGAACCCGAAGCAGGCTCCAGGCTCTGAGCTCTCAGCACAGAGGCCGACGCAGGGCTCGAACTCACGAACCGCAAGATCATGACCTGAGCCAAAGTCGAAGGCTTAACCGACTGAGCCCCCCAGGTGCCCCAAAACATTCACTATCTTAATTGTGGGGATGGTTTGTTTCATGCATATACACGTATGCCAAAACATGACAGTTCATAGTTTATATGCCATTTATTGTCTGCCAACTATATCTCAAGAGAGCTGAGAAGGAAAGAAAGTAGGAGAGAGTGAGAGAGAGGAATAGAAACAAAATGAGAAAGAAAAGAAACAAACCCCACAATCATGAGCAGATATGGGATAGTCCAGATACTCTATGGCCGAGTTGCACTACGAATTGTGTTAACCACCAAAGACAAAAGTTACCTGTACGTGTTTTGACTATTAATTGTAAACAGCAAATTGATCCCATCCTGTGTGCACAAGTTTGTATGAACAGTGACAAAGGGTCCCCTGGTGTCAGTTCAAAGATAACACTGCCCCCTAGGGGACACCTTGAGGATAGCTCAATCTGAAATACATCTTCCAAATTACTTTCCTGAACACTCTCAGGAAACAGCTCTTACCAAGGTCATCGGTGACCAAACACTTGCAAAGTCAACAGTCAGCTCTCTTTCCTCATCTTAGTCAAACTCTCAACCACATGTGACACAGCTGACCACTCTCCCTGTCTTGAAATACCTTCTTCTGAAGGCTCTGGGAAAGACAACCTACCTACCTCTCTCCCCCACTAACTCACTGGCCTGTCCAGTCTCTTGCTGACTCCTCCTCCTAACATCTAAGGTTGGGGTGCCCCTGGTCTCCTTCTTAGACCTCTTCTTTTGCTATACTTTGCCCCTCATGGAAACCAGGTGACTTCCTCTGGCCCCAAGGCTTCAAATAACCTCCATAGGTGAATGCCTCTCAAAATCACAACCGGATCCTTCACTTGACCTCCAGACTCCTCTTCCACTGGCCTGTTCCATACCTCCTTTTGCTGGTCTCCAAACTAATGGCTAGAACACAACCATTCACTTCTCCCTGAGCCTTCCTCCTCTGAGTGAGAGGCGGCACGCAGCGGCTCCAAGACAATGGAGTGTCGGTTCCCTTCTCTCCTCACTCCATCGGGAGTTCTGCAGGTGCAATTTCTGTGTAACTCCTGCTCAGCCTTCGATTTCAACCTGAGCGTCAGCCTCCTGGAGAAGCCTTCCCTAACCTCTCAGACTAGTTTGGCAGCCCCCTCCCTCATCAAGTGCTCTGAGATCCATTCATTCTCCTCTGCTGAACCCAAGAGCGTAGTGATTGATCGTTTTATGTTCATGTCCAGCCTCTTCCCTAAACTGTGGGAATTGTAAGGCTTTATTCCCTCCTGGCCCAACTCCAACAGAGTCCTTAACATGGCCGGCAAGACTCCACGCGATCTGGCCCTTGGATGCCTTGTTCAGTCTCTTCTATTATAACTTCAGCATGCAGTGTGGTCCGCGGACCAGCGGCACGGAAGTCACCGGGGAGCTAGTTAGAAAGGCATACTTTTGGACCACACACCTGACCTAACAAATTTTTTTTAAGATCCGCAGGCTCTTATTAAAGTTTGAGAAGAGCGTCCTACAATCTCCCCATCACTATGATTCAGCCACACCGGTATTTGCAATTCCTGAGCACGGAAATATTTGAACGTGTCCGCAGATGGGGAGATCCAGGTGGGCGGCAAGGGGCTGAGGCTTGAACTGGAGGAAAAGACAAGTGCTGATGCTGCGACCTAGAGCGGGGATGCCTTTCCAACGCCAGGACCGCCCAGCCCACCGCTCCTGAAACGCGGGAACGGCGGCCACTCAGCAGAAGCTGCGGCGCGCAACACGGCAGTCAAGGGCACGGGGGCCCTCGCGCAGGCGCACTGCGACCCCGCTGCCTGGTGGGCTGTGCGAGTACGCATGTGCACAGAGAAGAGGCTGGAGAAGGCGGAGCCTCTTCGTGGGGCGTTCCCGGCCGCGGGTAAGAGGAAGAAAGGGGTTTCCGCTTCCGGCTGGAGCCGGAAGCCACTGTCTCCCGGGTGAACGAGGCCGTCGCAACGAGGGGAGGCAAGTGTAGGTGACTGTTCGCAGGGACGGACGTTGGGACCAGGCGGGACTGGGCGATCTTCTACTGGTTGTATGTTGGGGCGGGGGGCCCGCTCACGGGATCCTAGAGGAGGCGTCGAGGACCTCAGGGTTGGGGGGTGGCCGGCCGGGGAGCTGGACTCCCTCGGACCCAAGTTCTCTAAGCGCGGCCCCTCGCAGGCCTGGCTCCCGCAGGCGGAGGGCGGGAGGCGACACCGAAGCCTCGGTGAGCTTGGAGGCACCGCCCACCCTCCGCCTTTCGAGGCTCGGCAGGGTTGGGGACCGATCCCTTTTCCACGCCGCTTTGGCGCGCTTGGACTTAGTTCGCCATAGGGAGGCAGGACCCCTGGAGCTTTGTGTACAGGCTAGACTCCTTTTATGGTGTGGGGTTGGGGGTGCTGTAGACGCCGGGTAAAATGAGATTCTGGGGCGCATCCATACATTCAGATTCAGGAGACTTGCCTTTTCATTCAACAAGTAGTTACGGAGCGCTTAATGCGTTCCAGGCACCGTGCGCGCTGTGGATTCAGCAGTGGGTAAATCGTAACCCCCATTAACACTACATTGCACTAAGGGCAGATCTGAAGTGAGGTTAGAAATCTGCATTTCTGGGCACCCCGCAGGCGACTCTGTTACAGGTGAGACCCAGGGCCAGGCTTTGGGGAAACAACACTGCCCGGAGCAGGTGAGGCATGGGTCATAGAACTGGCTACGTTTGGGGGAGGGGTTCTGGCTGCTTTCCTCTGCGGTCCCATCTCATACCGTTTCTCCCCATTGCTTCTTGAGCTTCAGCTGGACCAATCTTCTTGCTCTTTCCGGGGCGAGGGGGGAGCTGCTTCTGCCTCCGAGCCTTTGCAGTTGCTGTTCCATCAGCCTGAACTGTTTGGCACTGTCGCCTTCTCTCCTCATTCAGGCCTCAGCTTAAACGACTTTTACCCAGAGGGCCCTTCCCTCCCCGCTCCTAGGTGAAGTGGCCCCGGGCTCACTCACTTAGCCCCGACTGATTCACCTCCTAGTAGTTACTGGCAATTGAAATGATTTCTCCTATTAAATTGTTAAGGGTCTGCCATCTTCTGCCAGAAATTCCACAGAATAGCCACTTTGCCCCCTTGAGCGCAGGCGCAGCATTGCTGTGGTTAGCGGAGGGCCCGGCATTGGTTGTTGAGTGTCAGCTCTGTGACAGTAGCAGCTGTAGGCACTGGGAATCCGAAGAAAAGACACGAATCCCTGCCGTCGTGGAATGGACATTTGGAGGGAGGTGGGTGGGGTAGGAGCTGCGAGACCAATAGAGAGGCTGTTGTGAAAATGACCAGGAACGGGGCGGGGGGTGGGGGGACGACTCAGACCCCGGCTTTGGCGAGAAGCGGGCAGATTCTGGATGTCTTTTAGAGGTAGAGCAGCAGGATCAAGATCAGATGAGGGATGTGAAAGAGGGTGGAAAGGATCGAGGAGGGGTCCAAGGTTTGTGGAAAGATGGATTTGCTATCTGCTGAGCTGGGGAAGACAGAAAGGGCCTGTTGAGGTGTCAGCAGCTTGGTTTTGGACGGGTTATGTTGAAAACGTGTGTGAGCATCCGGTGAAGGTGTAGCCGGGACAGTTAGACGAGCCAGTCTGCAATGGAGAGGAAACGTTGAGGGTGGTGGGTCGGGAAGCATCAGTGTAGAGGAGGCGTGTGAAGCCCTGAGGCTGGGCGAGATCTCCACGGAGGTGAACCCAGAGGAAGAGGTGCCCAAAGATTGAGCTTGTGGGTCCCCGTATCGGCACAGAAGTCGGGGCCGGGGCTGGGGAAGAGCAGCCGCAGCAGAAACTGAAAGACCCCACCAGTGAGGCTGGGGCAGAGTGCAGGGCCCTGAGAGCCGCGTGGGAAGGGTGAGAGGAGGGGCCAGTGCGTCCAGTGGCCCTGAGGAGGCTGGGGACGGAGAACCGGAGGACATGAAGCCTGGGAGTGCAGGCAGCTCTTCTAGAAACGCCCACAGAACGAAGAGGTGGCTGTTTTTCACGATGTCTTTAATAACCATGTTCGTTCGCGATCTAGTGGAGAGAGAAAATGCAATGTTGTGATCCAAGGAAAGGTGACACATGGTTTCGGCGGGGAGCGCGGACATTCTTCCAGAGCAAAGAAGGCAGGCAGGGTGGGTGGTCCTGGGGGCTTGCCGATGCGCCCCCCGACCACTTGGGCTTACTCAGAGAATTGGGAACACCCTGAGTTAAGAATGAGGATGAGACATAGGAGAGAGATTGCTAGAAAGGAGTGAAATGCTGGTCTGTATTCCGGCAGGCTGCTGGCCTCGCAGGTCATGGAGGAAGAGCCACACAGGTGGGGTGTAGGGGCGAAGGGGAGCGGGGAGGGGACCTGGAGATGGCGCTCCCAGGTCCAGTGATCGGAGAACCCTGAGCTCAGTGTCTGGTGTGGGAGTTCCCTGCCTCCAGGACACCTGTCCCTAGATGTGCCTCTGGTACGTGAGTCCATAGTTTTCCCCAACAGCTTATTCTTCCGGTGCGTTGGACATCAGAGAATGATGCCACCTTCCCCTACCCACCCTGTCTGTCCCCCGGCACCTCAGGTGTCATCCCGGTCCCTTCTCCGGCCACACTCGCCCTCTCACCTGCCGCCATCCCTCCGTCCTGAACAGCCCTGCTCTGGTTCTGACTTCATCTGCACCCACAGCTCTGACCCGCCCCACTCCGTGCCTTCTAAAGGCAACGATTTCATCCTTTTTCTTCCTCCTGCCCAGGCGCAGCTTGCCCCACGTGGTCCCCCAACGCTGGCCGGGGCCCTCAGACACCTGTCTTCAGTCTTGGTGTGTGGCATTTCTCTACCGGAAATGCTTGTCCCCACGTCTCTGCCCGCAAGCCTCTTGTCTGTGGAGAGTTAGCCCAGGGGGCTCCTCTGGAAGATCTGTCAGATCCGTTGAGTGTCATTCCTCCGGGGTGCCACTTGCATGTTCCTCTGAGGGACAGCTGCTCCTAAAATCCACCAGCTTCTGGGCACTTAGGCTCCGCCCATCCCTGCGCAGCTGGTCAGTGGGAGTCTTGTGTCCTCCTCAGCAGGAATGGTGGCGTCCTGCGTGGGTGCCGAGGATGGCTGGGCGGGTCCCATGCTCAGCTCTTCACTTACTGTTTGTCATGGCAGCCACAGACCCCTCTGCAGTAGCAGCCTCATCTGTTTTACTGATGGAACACTGAGGCACAGAGAGCTTGAGTCACCTGCCGGGCTCCCCAGTAAGTGGAGGGCCATGATGAGAGCTGGGGCCACCTGATGCCAGAGGCTGCTCCCATCCCCCCCCCGCCCCCCTCCCAAGGGTGCCTGGATTGTCGTCTGCCCGGGGACTGGGAGCCTCACGCCTCAGGCGGGGCCTGTTCCCCAGCCTGCTGCTGAGAGCATCGAGCTGGAGGGCTCTGTGGGTCCCCTGAGTTGCTGACTTCTGTCCCCCCCACTCCCACCCCAGGTTTGCCCTCCTACAGACATGGGGCGCAGAAAGTCCAAACGGAAGCCACCCCCCAAGAAGAAGATGACAGGCACCTTAGAGACCCAGTTCACCTGCCCCTTCTGCAACCATGAGAAGTCTTGTGACGTGAAAATGTGAGTGGGGCACGGGGCCCCTCCCTGGTCCCACCGTGCCCCTTTCTCCCCCAGACCCCCCCACTTAGGGGGATCATTGCCCACAGACACAGGCCCCTTTACTCACCAGCCCCTCCGCCCTGTCCTGTTCCAGGGACCGAGCCCGCAACACCGGGGCCATCTCGTGTACCGTGTGCCTAGAGGAATTCCAGACACCCATCACATGTATCCTTGGGAACCAGGCTTCTGCCCAGAAGCGGGGTGGATGGGTGGGGGGGCAGCCAAGGCAGAGTGGGCTGCTCCAGGGCACCTGGCCAGGGGCGGGCAGGGGGTGGGGATGGGGAGAATGGCTCCAGGCTCCGCTCCTCTTGGCTCCGCTCCTCTTGGCTCAGGATGGTGGCTGCCCCCTGGTGATTAGGCACTAACCTGGCTTACGCAGGGTGCGGAAGGGCGGAGATCTGGCCAACACCATTGAGAGGGTTGTGTACAGGGAACAGGTCTGATGCCACCAGTTGCCCTTGACCTCATCGGCCTAGATCTGTCGGAACCAGTGGACGTGTACAGCGATTGGATAGACGCCTGCGAGGCAGCCAATCAGTAGCCATGCCGAAGACCCACTCCCGCGGCGGTCCCGCCTGCCAGGGACCTGCCCCACTGGATACCAATCCAGAGACATTCCAGGGTCCGGGGTGTGGGTCCAGGGCCTTCGAAGCCCTCTGTGTGCATGGAGTGGGTGTGGGTGTGAGTGTGTGTGGCTGCAAGCGTGGCTGTGGCAGTGTGCCTGTGGGCACGGACTGGAGTTGAGGCAGGCTGGTGGGGCCCCCTAGGGGCCTGAAGGGCCTTCCTCAGGCTCAGAAAGCCTTTACCTTGCTTCTGCTCCTCCTTGGGGCCGTGTTCTGACGTTGGGGGCAAGGACAAGCCCAGCGGAGGCTGCCTTGGGGCTCTCCAGCCTCCCCGCCCACCTCACCAGCACCTTGCCCCTGTGAACTGGACTGCCCCTCCCCCTTCCCTGCCTTCTAATGCCTGTGGCCTGGGATTCAAAGCCACGGGCCCCTTGGCCGGGCCCTGGTAGAATAGCCCCTGTCCGTGTTTAGTTGCTTTTGTAGAGAAGGGAGGAGCTGGGTCGGGGATGGGAGTAGGTCATGAGCCCCTGAATAAAGCAGCTGATGCAAACTCCTGCTTCTTTGTGATTTCCTGGGTTCTGGATCAGGCCCAGGGGTTCGGTGAGGGCGAAGAGGAAACTGAGGCACTCAGAGGTGTCCTGGCGGGCCATTGGAAATGGGGTTTGGTTAGTCCTTCAAACTGTCCCATTGTGTCCATGCGGCAGACATTTGGGGTGAACCCGTGGCGGTGCCGGGCCCGAGGAACGCAGGTGAACCCACAGACATCTGGCCAGGCACTTACAGGCACAGCAGGAAATGGGGCCAGTGGAGCCCGGGGTGGGGTCAGGGGTTGGGTCAGGGTGACCAGAGAAGGCTCCTGGGGGACCGTCTGATGGAAGAAGTGACACTCAAGGGCCCCCCTGTGCCAGAAGCGGCTCTCAGGCTCGCCTGCCCTGCCCCCATCCCCACCCCAAGGTGCCTGTGAGGTAGGTGCCCCAGGCTCACAGGTGAGGAATTGGGGCCCAGAGCCAGAAAGCTGCAGAGTTGGGCCTTGAACCCGAGAGGCCTGGCGTCACGGCCCAGGGTCCAGGCTGAGGGGACAGGTCCCTGCTTCCCCGGGGCCGCATGGTGACAGCGCTGTAGGAGAGTAAGGGTCCACAAAAGGGACCTTTTGCCGAGGGTGATGGAGGGGGGTCTCTGAAGGCTGGAGGTGGGTCCAGATGCTGGGGGACTATAGTGCACTCTGATCTCTGTCCCTGGTTCCTGGCACAGCTCCTCAAACCGGGGGAATTTCCTGGACGGTGGGGTCTTTGCTCGGTCAGCAGAGCCTGCTTGGATCTCACCTGAGTTCATGCTGCTTGCTGTGGGGCCCCAGATCAGCCTGGTCACCGGAAGGACCGTGATTACGGAGTGGGAGCCTCAGTAACTCCCCCGATCTCCGAGGAAGGGAAAGGGGGGGGGTACAGCTTAAGCTGTGTAACAACTTCAACAAGATCTGATGAGCCTGGGGATCAGTGAAGCTGTGATAGTGCAGGGGGAGTGGGGTGCCCGAGAGGGCGTGGGAGCTCTGCCCCTTCTCCAGATTTGGGTCTGAGCAACCATCAGGCTGCTTTGATTTAGGTTCTTTTCTAATAAACCGGCACTCTAATAAAACACAATGTGGGGCGCCTGGCTGGCTCAGTTAGTTAAGCTTCCAACTTTGGCTCAGGTCATGATCTCACGTCCATGGGTTCGAGCCCTGCGTCAGGCTCTGTGCTGACACCTCAGAGCCTGGAGCCTGTTTCCGATTCTGTGTCTCCTTCTCTCTCTGCCCCAGATCAGAGAGAGCCTCCCCCACTCGCTCTGTCTCTGCCTCTCAAAATAAAGATATTAAAAAATAAATAAAAAATAAAACACAGTGTTTCTGCATTCTGTGAGCCACTCTAGTAAATTAATCAAATCGGACGAGGTGGCCATGGGAATCCCTATTATCCTTGGTCAGTCAGAAGCACAGGTGATAAGCTGGACTTGGAATTAGCCCTTAGGGGGAGGGACAATCTCCTAAGACAGCCCTTGTGCGATCCGACACCGTCTCTAGGTCATTTTATTTATTTATTTTTTATTTTATTTTTTTAAAATTTTTTAATGTTTTATTTATTTCTAGGAGTTATAGAGACAGCGTGAGCAGGGGAGGGCCAGAGAGAGAGGGAGTCACAGACTGAAGCAGGCTCCAGGCTCTGAGCCGGCAGTCAGCACAGAGCCCGACGCGGGGCTCGAACCCATGAACCGCGAGATCATGACCTAAGCGAAAGTCAGACGCTTAACCGACTAAGCCACCCAGGGGCCCCTCTAGGTCATTTTAGAATTGAGTGAACTGCTTGGTTTTGGAAAAAATGCATCTGACCCTGGCTGACGGACGGTGCCCTCAGATGGTTTACAGGTATGCAGGTCCTGACGCTCTGGCAGCCCAGGGCCCATCAGCACCTGCACCTGGCCTTGAGTCTGGGCAGCAGCTGACCTGTGCTTTGCATTCCTCGCTGGTATAGCAGGAAGCATGATAGAACCTTCCAGGGCCATGCTGAGACTGCAAGGGCCTAGCCCAGTGCCTGGCACGGTTTGAGTGACTCTGGGACCCACTCGGGGCAGTTCGGGGTGTGAACTGCCAAGCAAGATGCTGAGCTGGCCAGAAGCCCTGGTCACTAGGCCCAGCCACCGGGTCTGGCATGTTCCTCCAACCCCGCCCTGAGGCCCACCGTGTCCTGCCCTGCCCCTCCTGTGGCGCTGTCACCTCCCCCCTCCAAGGTCCCAGGTAGAGTCCCCTGGCCCAGGCAGGAGCCAGTGGGCACGCACAGAGTGGTGGACAGGTGCCCGGACGGGGTGTACCATCGGGTCCAGCAGAAAGGGGGCTCATTCCTCTGGCTCCCAGGGCCAGCCCGCCCCAGTCACTCAGGCCAAGTGCTAATATGGTGCTGTTTTCTCGAGGAGGCAGGGCCCTGGGCCAGGCACGGATCCTCCTCGGCATAGCTTCCCCACGCAGGCCCTGGGGGAGCGAGACGTGCACTAGCCACGCCAAGAGCGCCTGGAATCCCTTTTACGAGGCCCCAGGGGCTGTGTGCGTCTGTGCGCGCGCGGGTTTTCTGTCCCCGCAAGTCCCCTTGTTTCAGCTTCGCCCCCTGCTGCGGGTAGGGAGGGGGCGCCGCTGTTCTGTAACCACCCGCCACCCTGACCCCTCACAGGGCTGCCTGCCCTCCTTGGAACTCTGACAGGTGGTGCCTTGCAGGCAGGACGGCTGGGCCCACATCGCTGGGAGGACAGGGTCCCCTCTGGAACGTGGAGAGGTTGGGGCTGTCACACTCTCGAGGGCCCTGGCTGGCAGGCTAGGCTCGGGAATTGGCCCTAAGAAGAGGGCGGAGAGTCAGCTGGGCGCACAGGGCAGCCGTGCAGGGCAGCCACTCGCCGGCTCTGTGCCAGGCTACAAAGGAACCGGGTCCCTACAGTCCCCATCCTCCCCCACTGCCTCGTCCCCTCCCACCTCCCCACAATCCAAGGCTGAAGGGTTCCGCCTGCCCACTGGGGCCTCAAGGACCCGGCTCGACCGTGTCCATTGGTCAATGCCAAATGCCCTCCCCTGTCCAGGGCTATCATTTCAGCTTCCCCATGTCCCCAGAAGGCTCTGTGGCCTCATTTTTGTGTTGGGAAAACAAGACTTGGGAGGGCAAATGATTTGCCCCAAGTCAGCCAGCTTGTGAGAAGCAGAAGTGTGTGGTTCACACCCCATCTAGCCTGTCCCAGTGCCTGGGCACTTTTTCACACGCCCCCCCCCCCCCGACTTCCCAGAAAGGCACATGGGTGCTGAGCACACCCATGTGGATATTGTGTGTAAGGGTGTCCATTTATGTGTCCCGAATGGGAGCGTGTACTGCACGCGTGTATCTGTGAAAGGGGAATGTGTGCACGCCACACACAATGTAGTGCACGTGTGCAGACTCTGCGTGTGCGTGCCCGTCGCGGGTCCCGCCAAGTGGTAGCACACTCTGTGTGTGTATCCTGCGGTGTGAGTATGTGTGCCTGTGCAGATGTGCGTGCGGGAGATGGAGCGTCTCTGAGCAAGGCTGTTCGCATGTGTGCAAGAGCCACGCGGGCAAAGAGCAGCCCCTGAGTCCATGATTTTACAGCCGTTTATTGTGCTCCAGTGAAATATAAAAAGAAAGTGCTCGCGTTACAAACGCCGCTGTCACATCCACGTATGCCAGTCGCTGCAAACCAAACCGCGTGTGTCCGCTGGGACTCTGGGCATGCAGTTTGCTCCTGCTGCGGGGATGGGGCGGGGGCAGGCCGAGCCTGGGCTCTTGCTTGGGGGGGTACTTCTTGTCCTGGGGGGGAACCACTTGTGAGGGGGTGGGTGGGGGGGGACAGCCGGGGTACTTTTGCTCAGTGCATCCTTTGGGTACTGTTGGGAAACACCCGGCTCGATGTTGGATCCTGCAGCGCTCCAGGGAGAAGGGCCCCCTCCCCTCCCCCGCAAGCCCCCCAGTTTGCCCCCCCCTCACCAAACGCTAACCCTGTAGGCAGGTGCCAGGGGCGGGGGGGGGGGCTGGAGGACGCCATGCAGGGGAGGGTCGACAGGGCCGGCTCGGCCCTGCCGAGAGCAGCAGCCAGCCTCCTTGGGGGGAAGGCGGGGTGGGGGGCCCGGGGCCCTAGGCAGAGTTGTAGTAGTTGTGCGCGTGGTGGTTGTGGGCAGGCTCGCCCAGCTCCGGGTACTCGGGTGTCAGGCAGTACTTGGGGTCGTAGACCTGGCGCGGCAGCCCGTACACCGTCATGCCCCGCTGCGAGGCCCCCTTGTTGCTGCCCATCTGCAGGCTGACGTTGAGCGTGTCACAGTGCTCCATGCCCAGCCCGGGCTCGAAGATCTGTCGCTTGGTCCCGGGTGCAGTCATGCCGGCCTGTGGAGGGCAGAGGCGTCAGACCGCGGGGACTGAGAAGGGCGCGCGCGAGCCACCCCGCCGCCACCCTCCCCCGCGGGCCCCTCCCACACACCTGGCTGGCCCCCTTGTTGCTGCCCATCTGCAGGCTGATGGTGGCCTGGTCCAGCGGCTGGTCTGTGCCCAGCTTGGGGTCGTACAGGTGGCGCCGGGTGCCGTAGGCCGTCATGCCCTGCTGGCTGGCAAACTTGTTGGTGCCCATCTAGGAAGGAGAACCAGAGTCACAGGGGCCTCTCACCCGGGGACACGAGACAGGACATGTCCGCGGACCCTCGCACGGCCCTCTACGGAGACAACCTGCTTCTGCTCTCAGGCTCCGGACTGGATGCCGAGGCCCAGAAAAGGCAGGCCACGTGACCTGTAGGTGGCTCAGAGCACCAGGGCCCAGCTTCCAGGGTTCAAGCCCCAGCCCAGCCACATATCACGTGGGCAATCCTGGCAAATGAGGCAGTTCCTCCAGGCCCCAGTTTCCTCATCTGGATAGAGTGTAATGATAGTGGTACCCAGTGCTTAGAGGCATTGAATGCCAAGCACAGTGCCCCGTGAGCATCTGAGGGAAGGCCAAATATCCTGTGCTCCAAGGCTTGCAGGGATCGGGGTGCCCTCCTGG